AGTTAATTAAGGTTTATTGCAAAGATTCCTAATTATGAGAGTCATAGTCTTAAACCTATAATCTTATTTATCCAACTAGAATCAGAATCATCAAGGAATGTTTCTCTTAACTACAGCTAAGAGGTTCTAAGTGATTTGGAAAAAAAATTTTCTTTAACTTTTGTTTAATTGTAAACAGAGAGCAAACAATTAAGTCAGGGTTGTTTAATGTGGTTTCTTTAATATTTCTTGAATATGAGAAAAGACATATACATATAGTCGACTACATTAAAGAAAAAGCAATTCAATGCTAACTTCCTCTTTATCCTCATTTCCACACTTTTTGTACAGAGTAGTAAAAACACAATTAATATAATTGTCTATAGTTTTTGGTCTTTAATATTTTATTTCCTTACTCATTCAACTGTCACCCCATGTACAATATTATTATTCTGCTGATTTTCTTTTTTCCTTACTTGTGACCCTGATAACGCATCAGCATCTTCTGATAAATGGCTGACTCCCTAAGTTGTCTTGGTTGCTTTGCAGATACGCACTCATTTCTCCAAATTTTAGGTTAAACCTTTATTTCCTTCCTCAAATCCTGCTGTACCTCTGCAATATATCAGTCTCTTAGATGCTCTTGGTACGTTAGTCAGCAGCAGCTAATCCCTCAATTGCTTAACCTTTGCTTAGTTCCTTCTGCTCAGAATTCTTACCTTTCTCTAAGCCTCATTTTGCTTGGTCACGTTCTATTCATCTCTCAGAAAAGAGCTTAATTTAAATGCCAATTCCTGAGGAAGACCAGACCTCATCCTCCAGATCTGAGGAATATATGTGCTTAGCACCCTGGGCTTCCTCTGGGTGGGACTTATCACAGTACTAATGACATATTTGTCAAATGCTTTGTTTATTATCTGCCTCCCCACCAGAGTATAAGGTTCATAAGGGCTCACTCACCATTGTGTAAATGTTGAATAAATTAAAGATTTATGAATAGCACATATCATTTTTCCATTTTAGTATAAAAACAATGATATGTAACCTACAGATAATGAGTCAAATAATCTACTGTGGTCCCCTCAGTCCAAGAAAATTATAATGTGTTATCAGATAATTCTGTACAGTGCCTCTCAAGTTGCTTCAAAGAGAATTTCCAAAGATACCCAAGTGGAATGAAGGGAAATCTCTTCCTCTACTTGCAACAGTAAACTGTTATCTTCTGAAGGCTGCCACACAATGATGACAGCTGAAGTTTGGTTCTGGGACACTCTAGTTTGTATAAGATCCTTTTTTACCCAATACTATGATCTGACCCTTTCTGATATGAAGAGTAACTGATACCTCCACATATTGAATTATTTCATAATGTTACCCTTGTCTGGAGTATTTGCATTTTTAAAGATGTGATTTTCTAACATGAGAATTTCAGGCACAAGGAAGAGGACCTTCTTGGTGACTCTCAAAATTATGACGTGGAGACAGTGGCTCATAAAGTGTCAGGCTGCTCATAACATTTTATTATGTATATATGTGGCAATATTTTAGTTCAGTTTAGGCCTTTATGTACTTTTCAAATAAAATTTAAATATATTTTGATTTATCACTATTTATATCTAAAACAAAGTTGAATTAAAGTAACAATAATTGTTTTATAATATTCTTAAACAAAGATAAATTGGGGAAGATTGCTTAATAATATTACTCTTCAGGGGCTGGCCTGGTGGCACAACGTTTAAGTTCCCACGTTCGGATTCTCTGCGGCCCAGGGTTCGCAGGTTTGGATCCCAGGTGCGGACATGGCACTGCTTGGCAAAAGCCATGCTGTGGTAGGCGTCCCACGTATAAAGTAGAGGAAGATGGGTATGGATGCTAGCTCAGGGCCAGTCTTCCTCAGCAAAAAGAGGAGGATTGGCAGTAGTTAGCTCAGGGCTAATCTTCCTCAAAAAAAAAAAATATTATTATTTCAGAAAGTATAATCTCAATATATGGACACTATATTTGATTTTGTGCTTAATATATCTTCTGTCCTTATAGCAATACACTTTTCATGAATTCCTTCATTTTAAAAGTGAAAAACAATTCACAATCTATCCTTCTGATAAGCAGAAAACTAAATTAAATGAACTCTATTCTAATCCTAGAATGAAAGGCTGCTGTATTATATGAAATTATGTAAACATATTTGCATATCTATTTTATTTAAAGTGATATATTGTCTTTATCACCAAACACCAAACAATTGTTTATACCCTATAGGTAAGAATGATTGTACTGGATTGTTTTGTTTGTTTTTTGTGAGGAAGTTTGCCCTGAGCTAAAATGTGTGTCCATATTGCTCTATTTTGTATATGGGATGCCATCACAGCATGGCTTGATGAGCGGTGCACAGATCCATGCCTGGGATCCGAACCAGTGAACCCCAGGCCTCCAAAGTGGAGCACACGAACTTAACGACTACACCAGGTTGGCCCTGGATTGTATTTTTTACATTTTTATTTATTTTCTTATTTATTTTAGGAAGATTAGTCCTGAGCTAACATCTGCCACCAATCCTCCTCTTTTTGCTGAGGAAGACTGGCCCTGAGCTAACATCTGTGCTCATCTTCCTCTACTTTATATGTGGGACACCTGCCAGAGCATGGCTTGACACATGGTGTGTAGGTCCCCACCCAGGATCAAAATGGTAAACCCAGGGCCGCCGAAGCAGAACGTAAGAACTTAACCTCTGTGCCACTGGGCCAGCCCCTGGATTGTAATTTTTTATCAGGTGGCAGCAAAAAAGCCATAGAAATAATCTGCTAATGCAGAGAGGAGCAGAAGATCCTGAAGATATATTTGACAAGATTTTGTTGACACTATGGGAAGGAAGAAAAAAAAAAGAGGAGACAGGAATTCCATTTTGAACAACTATAAAGCAAATTCTGTGATGTGGAGCTACCTGCTAAATGAAAGGGAAAGCTGCAAAGAAATATAAAGATGGTGATTGTACAGTACTATCTGGCTTTCCTTTATTTATTAGATGCATTTCTGAAGATTATCTGCAAAGTGAACTTATATGTAATATTTTGAATAAAATGGTCACATTCATTTCAACTACGTTTTCAGTAGAATATTAAACTTTCTGCACGTTTTACAGGTTCAGCAATTTTTTAAAACCTTTGTTTTGGAATAATTATTCCAAATTCCCAAAATTTTGAAAAATAATGTATAGTGAGGTCCCACACACCCTTTCCTGAGCCTCATCCAGTGGTAACTACTTGCATAACTGTAGTACAGTATCAAAACCAGGAAACTAACATTGGTAAAATCCACAAGGCTCGTGTGTGTGTGTACCTCTATGCAATTTATCACATATGTAGCTTCGTGTAACTGCCACCAAAATCAAGAGGGATAATTGTATTATCACCACAAGGCTCCCTCCTGCTCCTCCTTCATAGCCACATCCTTCTCTCCCTAATCCCTACTCTGGCCACCGCTAATCTATTCTCCATATCTATAATTAGGTTATTTTAAGAATGTTCTATAAGCGAATCATAGAGCATGCATCCTTTGGAGACTGAAATTTAAGGGCACTATGCTGACTGGAAAAGCCATTCAAGTTGTGTGTATCAACAGTTTGCTCCTTGTTATTGCTGAGTAGTATTCCAAGACTTTCGACACACTTATATTTTAAATGTCACCGTATACTGCCTTAATGTATGGTACAGGCTGAACTGCATCTCCTCAAAATTCATATGTTGAAGTCCTAACTCAGTACCTCAGAACGTGACTGTATTTGGAGACAGGGCCTTTAAAGAGGTGATTCAGTAGAATGAGGTCATGCAGGTGGGCTTTAACCCAATGCCATGGTACCCTTCCAAGAAGAGATTAGGACAGTCATGCACAGAAAAAAGACCATGTGAAGACAAAGCGCAAAAATGGCTATCTACAAGCCAAGGAGAGAGGCTTCAGAATGAGACCAACCCTGCTGACATCCTAATCTTGGACTTCCAGCCTCCAGAACTGTGAGAAAATAAACTTTTATTGTTTAAGCCACCCAGTCTGTGGTGTCTGTCATAGCAGACCTCGTAAACAAATGCAGTGTATAAGAATAGTTTTATCTGTATAAATTTGTCTCACCTCTATGTGTTCACATACAACAATACTTCCTGCTATAAGACAATCACTTGTGTATCCACATAATTTATGAATGCTTCTCAAAGGGAGTTTTTAAAATCTCTGAAGGTTTTTCTGTATCATGCTCTACAATAAATTATGTTATCGGGGAATTAAAGAAAATATATACTTATAAAAATGATACGAGTATTCGTGCCTAACTACATTGCAGTAAAAATCTATAGTGTGATAAAGGGAACATTTAACTGAAAGCAAGTAGATATTTTAAGAAGACAGTTTAACTACTTTTTACAAACTGCACCTAAACAACAGAATTTGGGCACATTGCTGGATACTTTTTGCTGTTTTTTTTCAGAGTGGATCGTGGTTAAGCATGTTAGCTGCAAGGTTTTTACAACATAGAGAGGAATTATAATTAACATGAATTCTTACTATATGCTTTGAAATGGAAAAGGGATGGTAGCATAAGTGGGACAGCTCAATTTCAATTCATTTAGCAACATTTTATCTATGTCTGACATTTGCTGGCAAGTAATGTGGACTGGCTCATTAAGATACTGGTATAGGATTATACCAAAAACATAAGTGCATAGACATTAGAGAGAAGTATTGTATCTAATTAACCATACCACTAAGAAGTAATCCCAGAAGTATCTTTCTGCACCTGGGGAAACAATAAGAACAACCAGAAAGTCACCTCTGCAGTGTACAGAGTACACACCTGTACCTCTGCAGTGTATAGAGTACACACCTGTACCTCGGCAAGTGTACAGAGTACACACCTGTACCTCTGCAGTGTACAGAGTACACACCTGTACCTCGGCAAGTGTGGGTCCACCAGTGATATTACGCATCAAAAGGGAATGATGGGTCTGTGCTGAGAGAACAGCAGTGGAACTTACCGTCTTGATCCGTGGTCACTGTAATAGCTGTGAATGGCTTGGGAGAAAAACTCAACTCAGAAACTCCATTCATGGCTTCTATTTCAAAGGTGTAATTCACGTGAGACACAAAGTCAAGAACTATCACAGAATTGTTGATCAGGCCAGTATGTCTTGGGATGAAGCGGAGTCCTCCACCACAGTCCTCACACTGGCTGGTGTCTAAGCCACATTTCTTACAGATTACACTGTATGTGAGATCTTTTCTCCCTCCTGTGTCACTTGGTGGACTCCATTCCAAAATAAGGGCTGTTTCATTGATGTTAAAAATCACATTCCTAGGAGCTGAAGGTGGCCCTAGAGAAAAGCAATTAGAAAACAAATGTACATGTATAGGACAATGAATTTTGGTGTTAACTTGAAAACTTCATCAATAAACACTTGTTGGTCTTTTATATTAGTTCGAGGTCTTTCTTCTGATGAGATGTGATGGTTTTAATTACATGTTAATAATCATATCATAATTTTCAAAATTTGAAAAAAAATAGTAACATACTTATATAAAATGCATTGTATTCAGTCTTTCAGTCTTCATACTAAGCTTGATGTGTAACTAAACCTCCCTTTCATTACCTTTGACAATCTCTAAGTATCTGTTTCTCACAGACTGAGAATAAATGACCACAAATTTAGGGCTGACAGACAGTTTGGAAGAAGAGGGAGAGAAAGGACATTGGAGGCAGCACAAAGGCTGTCACTCGGGCTTTGCCAATTTCGTGGGCTAAAAGAACTCTGCAGAAAGGAGAGAACTGGGTGTATATAAGAAACGGTAACTCAATTTATCTAGGTTAATTTCACCCCACACAAAGAAGTGTGCTCCTAAAAGCTAATAAAGAGACCCGCATAATCCTCTAAATTTGTCATCAAGACTGCATAAACCAAGCTGCTCATGGGTGAGAGAGAAGCATCTTCCCTCAGCCTTCTTTCCCACTATCTTCCCCTACGAATCACAATGCACAAAGCACTTAATATCCTTGAACTACTCCAGCCTTTTCTTAAAATTGTGTCAACAATCTTTTACACTTAGATCTGGGTCCTTGAGGCTCGAGTTTCATGTCACTCACTGAACAGATGGTCTACAAGGTGCCAGGCAGTGCCCTATGTGCCGTACGTGAAATGTCACAGAACCCTTTCTGTAAGAGACTATGCTTATGACAGACATGTTGAAAAATAATTCATTGCATAAATAACTAATGAAATAACATTCCTGCTTAGTTTTAAGAAATCTATAGCTATTCTTTACATTTCTGCTATCAAAAAGATTTGCTTAGAAGATAGGCAGGAATTCTCTGTGACATTTTCTTCATAGAAAGAAATTCAAGCTCTGATATAGACTCCTCTGGGATTTCAAGATACAATCATTCATTCATTAAATAAAGATTTTTTTTTAGCAATTACTATGTGTGCCAGATACTCTGCTAGATTTTCGGCTTATAGCGTGAATGTGACAGACATTAGTCCTACTTTCCTGTTACTTACATTTTAGTTGCATGGCTAAACACACATACATATAAACAGAAGAACAGAATTCAAATGATAATAAGTGTGATTATGAAAATCAAAAGGAGAGGAGCTGAAATAAAAACTCTGAGAAGGACCAGTCTGAGAAACATTCTGAGGAAGCCTCATGGAGGTGCTGAAGAGGACGTGCAGAGAGGTAGGAAGAATATTAGGCAGGTGTGTAGTTATTTAGTCAAGAAAGATCTTAAAATAGTCATGGAACTGGCAGAAAGTCACTGTGGCTAGAATGCAAAAGGAGGAAGCAAGAAGTGAGTTATAAGGAAAAGGAAGGGGCTAGATGATGCAAGAATTCTGGCTCATTGGAACCAGTCTCCATATGTTTCTACGTAGAGCAGGAAGTAACCCACATTTTACGTATGGAAGTGAAGTGTTTTAAAGAGCTTTCTGACTGCAGAGTGGAATGATCCGAACGAGTCCAGGGACTTAGCAGTGAGATCTGTCACATGGTGCTAGAGTAGCAAAGCACTTCGTCGACCATCTAATGACTGTATTGGGAGTGAGATATTAAGAAGTGTTATTATATGTTTTCCTCTTTCTTTTTGCAGGATCCTGCTATCAGCAACCTGATGAGTAGGGACCTCAGCAACCTATATGTACACCACCTAAAGCGAGACCCAGAAATGGGACAGTTTTTCTAAAAGGGTTCTGCACACCTTGCTTTATGCCAATGGTTTATACCCTTTCAGGTTCTATAGAGTTACAGAAATGCCTGCGTTCGCTAAGGAAGACATGAAAGGAATTTATAAACGAGAGCAGAGGGACAAGTGTGGCTTTCTTCTTCCAACCTAGATGTATGCCTGGGAGATAAAGATTCATTATCGTTACCATGATAACATCTTCCTACAGAACGACACATTCATGTTGTTGCTCTTTTATTTATAATGGAAAATAGGATTATTCACTTATAGTTCCATGAACAGGAAAAATGTTATCAATTATGTCATGAGCATCTGCAGGTATACAACTGTCCACCTAGAGATACTTTAAAAAAACAAAAAAAGGCAGACACACTTCTCCCTCAAGGGCCCTCATACTAATTTGCATGACGATTAAATAGGTTTTTAATTGCTGCTAAATTATGCCGGCTAAACTGTGATTTCATGCAAATATTAAGCTGTAATGACATGCAGTGAATCATTTACTAAGATTTAGAACTTGGAACAAAGAGAGACAATTAATTGTAATCCTCAGATTCAACTAAATTATGTGTCACTGGGCTTTTATGAATGTAGCATGATTGCTTTGTTATCATTTATTAATTATACAAAGATTATGAGCCACACTTGGAAAAAATTGTGGCAGCAATAACTCTTTTGGACACCTCTGTATTGCGAACTCCAAGGGATTTCCTTACATTGATTTTTTTTCTTTTAAGGAAACAAGCAATTCACACAGAAGAAAAGCGATCTCCACACTTCACCCCCCCAGACTGGCTTCAGAAGAAAAGGGCAATTATTCTGATTTGCAGCTAGCTGTTTTTCAAGCCCATCAGATAATAAACCTTACATAAAAACTACAATTTTACTTCTACTAGTTTGTCTGGAAAACACATTTTTAATCTTCTTCCTTTTTTTTTTTTTTGCTTCGATTTGGATTCGGCCTTTGCACTTTTAAAGAATAAAGAAACAGTGCTCTCACAGTGAGCTTACGGGAACCTTGTGGCAGTGCTGTCTCTTCCCCACCCGGGAAAGCACTGGGCCTGCAGCCCCTGTCTTCCTCTCCGAGTAGCAGAGGCCAGGTGGGCCTCTGTTTTGTTTTGTTTTTTTATGCTTGTTTTGTTTTAAGTTTTTTTTATGGAAAATGTTTTTAAGCAGAACTGTATTTCCCACAACACATCCGAGGCAGTTGCTCTAGCCCTACGAGATACCACATGGAGGATGAGTTCAGTGCCCACAGCAAGACTCCGCTGGCCGACTGACCCAAAACATTCTGCAGAACACCCTTAAAGAAAGGCTACACAGGAGGAGAAAACTGAGGGGTCATATTTCACTTACTGCACTGATTGCTGTAGGCTTCTATTTCATGTTTCTGATTAGAACTGTATTGACTCATAAACAAACAGGGGTCTTTTTCATATCGCCTGGAGAGTGACTATTCACCCAGAGACTCTATAGCTAATGGTGGCTTGCAGATGAATTTTTTAACATTAAGAACAATGAAACTTTTATCCAAATAATGGAGGATATCAAGTCATCAAAGGCTATTGATTACTACACTATATTTCACCAATTCTTAAGTTACCACCTGCCAATAATTTAAATGTTTGTTAATTTAATGGCAACCAAGACTGTAGTAGTACAGTTTCCTAATAAAAAGCAAATTCCTTCATATCTATGAGTTTAGAAATGAGAGAAAAATTTTTTTGTGTTAATATATGTCAAAGAGAACACTGAAAAATATACTGAACCATCTAGAGATGTTGAGCTATACACTTTTGTAAATGAGTAAATTGTAGAATTTGCTAAAGAAAAATAAATACATATAAACAAATGAAAAAGTATATCTGCAGATTTTAATAGTATACTAAAATTTTAAGTTGTCAGATTTGCATATACATAATTTAAAACTCTAAAAGTCATTTCATTCTTTGCATTATCACTATTAATTTTTATTTTTTAGAATTTTTTTTGAGGAAGATTAGCCCTGAGCTAACATCTGCCACTAATCCTCCTCTTTTCTGCTGAGGAAGACTGGCCCTGAGCTAACATCCGTGCCCATCTTCCTCTACTTTATATGTGGGATGGCTGTCACAGCATGGCTTGACAAGCGATGCATAGGTGTGCACCTGGGATCTGAACCGGGGAACACTGGGCCACCAAAGTGGAACATGCACACTTAACCGCTGAGCCACCAGGCCGGCCACTCTCACTATTAATTTTAACTTATATCCATATCTATATCGTTAATCTAATATCCTTCCTATATAATCTTTGAAAACTGTATTTAATAGGAGTAGCTGTAAACAAAATTTTGTATGCTTCTCTAAACAACTTTGTGCTTTATAAGTTTTGTTCCTAAAATGTGTGTATATCTGGAAATGGATGACGAGTGATCACAAACTGGGGCTTCAACCTCACCATAGCGCAGGTTCTAAACTGATTTATTCACACAAAGAAATGAGGCCCAGGAAAGCACTGTAATTATGTTGAGGTCACGCGGGGCAACAGAGGTAGGATGATACCTAGGTCTTTCATGTTTAGATTTTCTTTTTTTACTCTACCATACTGTAATCATCCTAGAGAGGGAAAAAGTCTGGTAAATCAATTTAAATATTAAAAGTATTTTACAGAGCTTTGCTTAAAGAGAATCATCAAACATAAATTTTCAAGACACACAAATCAGTGAGCAATTTGTTGCCTTCCTACAACAGATTCCTTTTAATAATGTTATCTTAGAGCATTTAAAAATAATTTTACATACAGAAGAGAAATTCAAAATTGGATTGTCAAGGTAAATATTGCTCAAAATACAGCACATGTGCACTTCAAATCCTTTTCATTCCACATCCTCTCATTTTCTTCAATATTATTGCATCTACTTGAGTAACTAAATTTATGTCTAAAATTAAGACTTGTCATCCATTAATGTTTTCAGAGTACTGTGAATGAGGACTTAGATAATTCTTTTTAGATTCTCCACAAATTCTTAGTCATCCTCATGTTCCAATTTAGGTGTTATTCCTTTGTGACACTTTCCTATTGTCCTCAGGCAGAACTGATCACTTTTTATACCTCATAGGAATATACTAAAAAAATATAGCCAACATTTTTGAATAC